CAGCGCACCCCAAAAAGAAAATCTCACAAAAAAAAAAAAAAAAAAAAAAGACACTCCCTCCTCCTTGTACAAATCATAATAAAATGTGGGTAGATATGAGAATCTACACAAATCTCCTAGTCATGTACACATGCTCACTTTCAGCATAAAAATGTAAGAATCTATACATCCAGGCAGATTTTAACATATACTTTTTTTTATTAAATATGTAAAAAGATCAACGCAAGTCAAGTTATTCACATATTCAGAGACAAAAAACTATTCTACCATGCGACAATAGGTGGGTAATGTAAAATGAATGTGATACATCTGAATAAGACTCTTCATCTATTATGTCATTACTTATCTATATTTATAATTAACAATACATAGTATGTTTACATTCCTTTCAGTTTACATTTAATATATAACAAAAGCTTTATGGTGTACTATTTAGTAAAAGTAATCTGAATGCATATTAAACCTTAACGGAATAATGGGAATACTCACCGGGGAAGGGAGGAATTCTTGGTTCCCTTCTGGAGTTTACTTCTCTCGGGTCAACAGGGTATTTATCCTTGGTCTTGTCTTTTAATTTTGTTCCTGCTTTTCTGCTTAGAATGAACAAACATGGGCTTTCTCTTTGCCCCCTGCTTCGATCACTTCCTGTCTGACAGCAGCAGTGGAAGTGCTATGACCAGCCAACAGTGGGCATGGGGGGGGGTGGGGGTTACTAATAATGAGAGTTACTTCCTGAGAGGGAGGAGCAGAGCACACACCCAGGGATACTTCTTGGCCCAGCATGATGACATGTGACTGGGGACCACGGAGGAAAGCGTGCCCTGATATTGAGATGAGAGAACAATGGGGGTCCTATCATCCATGGGAAAGGAGTGGTAGTCTGCACCGAGCTGGGGGTGCAGCCCGAGGACCGACTCAGAAACTTAGCTGTTAAAGACTCCCAAAGCATCCATAACACCTCTGGGGTGCAGTGCAACAGAAGATGTTGAAGATGAGGACAGAGAGAGGGACTTATAAATGAAGTCTAACCCTAGCCTTTGAGACAGAGAATGGAGCATGGGGACAGGGAAAAGTTCTCTCCTCAGGCTAAGTTTATGGCTGAGAATGTCAGGGAGTTGAAAAGGAACAAAATGGTTCCAGCAAGAATCATCAGGGAGGCTTAAGCAAGTCAGGCTGAATTAGTGGTTTCTGGAAAAGACAAAATCCTGACTTCAGGCGACCCATTCATGTGCATCCTCATGACAGGGGTTTGGCCATGATCCACCTGGCTGGCCCTGGGTATTACTGAGATGTCCAGTGCAGGCAAGGAATTGCTAGGAACCACTGAAGTATCATGTGCATGGAGCTATTTATTGTGCCTTTTTACAAAAGCTATTAATATTTAAAAAAAGGAAAATCAGGGAGCACAACAGGTTCAGGAGGGCAACACACTGTTAAGCACAATGCTGTGTATAGCACAGCCACCAATCCGTGACCAGGCGTGGGAGGATGTCACTGCCGAGAGCCAGGCTTTCCAGCCTTAGAGAAATGAGCTGCCGCTGTAGCGCAGAGCAAGCAGGAGAGAGAAGCTAGGGAAACCAAATGCCATGGAACATCTGTCCAGTTCTGCACAGTGTGTTGTAATAATGTCAAAAATACAAGCCATCTATTCCACATATGACTCAATAAATACCATTTTGCTGCAAACAATTTATTTTGGAAAGACTTTTGGTTGAAAAGCTTCAATGTTAGAATTTAGAATTAATGTTTCATCAGTTAATAAAGAAATTTCAGAGCTTTATGATACATAATTCAGAAATTTATTTTAAGCTTTTCAGTGAAGAGAAAAGTGGGGCGAGCACATTTGTTTCTTGTTTTTTTTTTTTTTTTTTTTTTTTGTTGCACCTGCTAAGTCAAATAACAAGTGAAAGTAAACCTAAGGTTAGAAACCAAGTGAAATGAATAATCTGGGAAGGGATACCAACTGCCAAAAAAAAAAAAAAAAAGGGCAAAGATCTGGAAAGAGACTAAGAAAATGTGCAAATATTAGTTAAAAAAGGAATGCTTTTAATTAATGTTTCCTCTATTTATGAATTGCTATGGTTTAGCAAAGTCAATGGCAAGGAGGGCCCTTATGTCAAGAGGGGAAATTCCTATTCCAGAAGACATTGGGAGTCAAAGATTTTCCTGTGCTGTTATTCTAATGTCAACACCAGGCTGCAATATCATGATGCTCCCTTGGAATTATGCTCCTAGTAAGGTCTTTGCTTCCAGCCTCCCAGCAAGCATGAGCTCGGGTCTGCACACCTGAAGTTATCCTTAGTAGAAGTCCCCTAGTGTGACTGACAGGATTTGGGCTGAAATCTACATGAAGAAGAAGGATGAGGCAGGAGGACGTGTACCTGCCCAGACCCCCTTTGGACTGCAGATAACTGATGACAACAGCTTGGGGAAAGCAACTGCCCACCAAAGAGGACCCTGAGAAAGAAAACAGCATGAGAATCTGGGAAGTAGGAAGGGCGGGAGAGAGCAGGGGCAAAGTTGAGATGGTGTTTCCTTGAGTGAATGTCTTTCAAATCTAATAACAAACTGTGTGGCTGTCTAACATGCTGATATATTATAAACACTGTTGGGCCCTGAAGTACTAGTTTTGAATCCTTTTTTCTCCCTTTAGTGCTGTGAGTAGAGGGAGAAACTGACTGTATGTTTTCCCCCATGACACAAGTCACTGTCATTATGGCTTTCATATCAAGTATCTGTTTCCCTTTGTTCCAATACAATTTTGACCAAATTTATGTTCAGAGGTTAGACTTGCAAACATCAAAGCACCACAAATGCATGTGACATCTAGTGACACTGGGCTGAGAAATGCCAATATAAATACCATATATCAAATTACCATTGTTTCACACCAGGGTAAAAAGGAGGGTTGTGGTGGTGGTGGTGGTGGTGGTGGTATTGGGGTGGGGAAGAGTTGTTCTGGAAAGAAATGAGGAAAAGAGCAGAACCAATCTCAAGCAGCCAAGTGGTGAAGTTGAAGGTATGTGACCCTATGATCGCTCAGGTAGGCAGCCAGATGGCTGTCGGCTAACATGTCTTGGCAAAGGAAATGGGAACCGAGCTCAGTGGCGGGCGTGTGCAACAGTGCGTTGATGGTAATGGCAGATTGGGAACAACTGGTTTCTGTTGAGCTTGAGGCCACACACATGTTCCAATTCTCCAGAAGAAAAGTTCCCGTGCACAATGGAAGTGTCAAGAGCTGCCAAGACGGTTCAGTACTCTTCCTGCTGCTGAGGCTGCTGTTCGTGGGCTTGTTCTTCGGCTTCTGGCTCTTCTGTGTGGCCCTCCTGTGGGGCAAGGCAGAAGCTGCGGCTGAAACAGTTCACTGTGAGTGATGCCCGCAGTGTCCCACCCATTATCACTGTGCAGCTGGGCACACCCCCATGCAAACACTTTCCAGCTCTCAGTGGCCAGGGTACACAGTGACACCTCAGTGTCTCTGTGTTATCAAAGATCACATCATTTGAGAAAGTACAGTCAATAGGCTTCAAGGACCAAACTTTTCTCCTGTTTTAGAAGGAAATCTTTGTGAACACACTACATACTTCCCTACCCTCTGTAAAAGAGTAAAGCAAACCCAACTCCAGAGTCATGAGAACTGAATATGTGATATGAAACAGAACCCCAGGTCTCCACAGTGTGCTGGGTGGCTCCCTCTGCACTAACAGCCCAGATGTTTCCCTCCCGACTGGCATTCTTACCTGCCTGCCTGAAGCTGATCCTCTGTTATAATTAGATAGGTTTAGGCACTAGAGACGCAACTCTGTTAGAGGTTCTGAGGACAAGGAAAGGATAATAACCACATTTCCTGGGTTGTGAAGAAGCCTCTCCCAACAGGAAAGCTCAAGAGCTTCCACTGGTGGACTTTGGGACATCTGTTTAGGATGCCTGAGGCTTTTTTTTTTTTTTTTTGCCTTCTTTCTGTTTACCGACTGTGAACCAGAGAGGTGAGGTGTTCCTCTACTTGGCTCCAAATGTCCTGTTAATTCATTTGCCTAGCCCAGTGAAACATGATCACCAAATCCAGGGAGCCTCAGCCTTAGTCAGCCATATCTGCAAATTCTATTTTTTTCACCTCACGAAGGGTAGTTAGCTCCTTATAACCCAGGCAGAGGGAGCATGGCTAGTCAGTAGCAGCTAACCATTCCCCCACTAATGGCACAAGGCCTTGTGATGCAGTCCAAGCGTATCCTGGCACATCCTGAAGTGCTGCTGTCCTTGCACACTTGGCACGCTGACTTCTTTCTTACCCCAAACCATCCTTGTCCTGTCTGGCTCCTATTCTCACAGCCTCAGAGGACAAACCTGTCAGTGTCCAACTCAAATACAGTGTGATCATCTCTCCCCAGGAGTATTTCTCTCCCTTCTCCTGCAGCACTTTTTTTCATGCTCTCCAGTAAAACTGATTTGGAATCTTGCTTATCTTGACCCTTTTTAACTTTGTCCTCTGGATCCTGAGTTTACTGAAGTCAAGGATAGGGCCTCATTCATCTTTGTGCCCTGTCTCGCTTCTGTAGACTCGAGAGTAAAGGACTGGGACTATCGGGCAAGGTCACGTACTGGTTATTTTCAGGGAGGCAGTGTAAGGTCAAGGTTGTAAGCAGGCACTCTGGAGCTAACATCCAAGCTCTACTATTTACAAGCTATGTGGCTTAGGCATAGAACTTAACTTCTCTTTCTCACAATTTTCTCATCAGTAAAATGAGATAAGAGTACTCTTCTGTCAGAGTTTTCAATGTGTTTCACTAGTCAACGCATCTGTGAATTCACTGAATCAAAAAAAAAAATTTAATGAGTTAAAATAGGTAAAGTGACCAGAAGAGCGCCTGGCACCCAGTAAGTATTATAAATGTGAGCTATAATTATTTCTTAGTTTTAAAATTGTTGAAATGTATCCTAGACATGCAAATACTTAAAAAATAAAACCCTGGGGTCAGCAGATATCATGGTGGTTAAGGTAATGGATTCCCACAAAGGTGGCTGTGGTTTGAGTCCCGGATCTGGTGGCTTGCAATCTCATTCTCTTTCTCTCTCTCTGGTCACATTAAAAAAAAAAAAATTTAAAAACCCTTTTAAAAATAAAACCCTTTTTGTGGCAACCAACAATAGAAAGTGACCTCACGTTAAAGACCTGGGATCAAATATAACACTGTTCCTTACCAGCTCTGTGCCAAAAGGCACACTATTCAGTAAATGTGAGCTAGCTCCTCCTGCCTACGACCATGCTCTGGGTCACACCTCTGGAATAACAGACCTTCACACTCCCACCTCCTTAACTGTGATGCTCTCTGACCTTAAGGAGACCTCAGAACCCTGAGCCCCTTACTCCTGTCCTGCCAGATAAACCTCAGAGCCCTGGGGCATCACTGCACCTGCATTCCTGACAGCACCCTCTGTAAATCCCTGTGTCTACCGCTTGGCTAGTCCTTTTAGCTCAGAAAGCTAGTGCCTCAACTGCCAGTGGCACTCAAGGGGACTCGGGGAGTACTTTCTGCCAGGTCATCCCAAGATAGAAAACAGGCACTGGCCTCTGGCGGGAGTGAGTGCTCTCCTCTCGTCTAAGGAAGAGAAGGAAACGAATGGCTGTGGGAATTCAGCA